ATTTCCTCAACTGACGCCTGAACGTCAGCGTTACGTCGCTGAAATGCACTTCCAGTCAAATTCTGAGCGTTTTCTCGCTCTACTGCCTCCATCTTTCCATTTCTGCATTGCTTTTTCCCCCTTGCCAAAACCACAACGTGACGAGCATCTACTATCAGCATTCCTGCACGGGCAACCTTCGCTTCGTGCCGTTTCTTTCCGACTACAGGTAGTTTTGCATTAACAGGACTGTATGAAAATGAGGACAATCGGTTAGTGGTCCGTATTTAAATTATAAAGTATGAAAAACAGTTTCAAAGATAGTTGGAAAATTAAAAAACATACCACTTGAGTTTCGCTAGGTGCCGCGCCATCATCTTCGTTCTGTTCGTTTTCAGTTTCTACCAGATGAGAACCATACGCGTTTACTGGACCGTATCTTGGCAGCAAATCGTGAATATCTAGAGATATTTCACTGTCTGTGTCCATTTCCTCGACGAGGTCAGAAGCCATATCTAAATACAAATTGCCCGCGCGTTTCGACATTGATCTAGCTAATGGCCGTTCCGGTCTGTGATCCTGTTACACAACAAACAATGCGCAAACCATCACGGTAAGTGACAATGGGTCTTTAAGTTTGCTCATTGGTTAATCAAAGAAAATAATTCATTATAATCAGACTTACCCTTTTCTCAAAAAGTCAAATGTCACATTATCCCCCATCAGCACAAAAGGAGCCCATTGCGAAGGTTCGGGAAAGCCGTAGCTTCTCAACCATTGAACGGCCTGGTGAAGAGATTCACAGGCACTTTCTTCCCGAACAAGGTGTTTGTAAAAATGGTCCATGAGCTTGGCCGTTGCTTCGTCTTCTATAGCCCACGATGCCACCAACACTGAACGTGTACCGGATGCTAAGAATGCTCGGGTGATTCCAATAACTCCTTCCTTTTTAACCAATCCACGCCCACTGTAACAACAGCTGAGTACGACCAGTTTAGCTCGCACTTGCACTCCTTGAATATGGTACATTGTCAGGAGGTAATCTTCCTCCTTTGGAACAATGTTTGTACTACATTGAGTACTGTTGGTAGTACATTGAGGAGAGAGGGCAATCTCTTCTCTTTCGGCATCTCCATGTGCGGCAAGATGTGTGAGACTCACCAGATGTATTCCTTGAAGTACTGCCTGCTTTGCTGCACGCCTTTCTGTTAAAGGTTGAACGTTCAGCAGTCGACCAACATCTCTGCTTCCTTATTTGCACAGAGCAATGGTGTAACATTAATGACTCGTCCATTGTAAGAGACTTCACCAACCGTAGGATTACCCACCACCAGTGCGTCACTTTGACTGTGATAGTCGGATGGACATTCTTGAATGTGCCGAAGAGTCGCCAGAGAAGGGACGAGGCGTATTCGGTACTTCTCCGATAAACACTTTCCGGCTGGTTCATCACGCAAGGCAGCAAATGGGACTCTGTACGAAAAACGATCCGGCACAATGCTGATTTCAGGCTCTGTAAGTAGATCTGCCACAGGTGCGACGATCCATTCATAGCACAAGTGATGAGTCCTTCCGATATCTTTGATTTCGTCACCTCGCAAATTTGCTCGGCTCTTTTCATGAACAGAAGTTGTCACGCTGTCACCTAAGGATCGGTCTCCGCATTTTTCTGAGGGTAAAACGCCAAAACAGGCGGCGCCGCTCTTTTTGAATACTCCTTCCACATCGCAAACATCTTCATCAATAAGAGTCTTTACTTTGACTTTGTCTGTTGCTCGAAAAAAAATGTCTCCATTTGCTTTCAATACCCCAAGATAAACGTGCCGCTCTACATACGAAATGTACAAGAAAACACAGTTATTTTCTCTTTTGATGATGTTTTCAATCCCGGACCATGATTGTGGATCACCTGAGATGTGGCTTTCAGCGGAATACTTGTCTGCCATGGTTTCTGCAGGACCTCTAGCTCGTCCCAGCTCCTCAACGTAGAGAGCATCTCGATATTTTGCACCATCGCAAGGCAATTTAGTGAGTAATTGATAGGGAAACATTTGAAGGAATGAGAAATACTCTAAATTTGACCGTGCGAAAGTAAGTCTGTTTATATGACAGGTGTGAACAAACATTTAATCAACAAAAAGAGAAGCCTCCACTGTACTCTGTTCTGTTTTAAAGCACAAAGGAAGCGATAGAGTACGAAAGCAGTGTAGGGAGAAACACGAGATGTAGTCGAGTGTTTCTGTCCTTGTCTTGAGTGCTTCAACCGCTTCCTATGTGTTTAACAACAAAACAGAGCACAGTCATGGCTCTTCTCTTTTTTTTATAATGAAGAATCCGTTAATTAAATTCCCAACGCATTACTTTCAATTTTCGAAACAAGCTTTATTTCCAGCGCAAGCAACATTGTCGTCAACATGCCCCATACTCTCACAAAGCAGGCAACAATAAGCCAATCAGAATCTTAATTAGAATGGTTCAAGTAATCTGCTTGGTTAAACAAACCTTTGATTGGTTTTCTGCCCGCTCACTTATTCCGAAATTTCACTTTTAATTAATTAACGAACAAACGCCAGACACTAAACAAATAAGCAGATAGCGTACAGCTTTAAATCAGCTCCATGCTCTATTTAAACAATAGAGTGTTTCTGTCCAGGAACTATCGGCTGGTAGTTGCCCCGTGGAAATTTGATGTTCTTAAAACAAATATTTGCCTGAGAAGCGAAGCATCGAGGGCAAATATGCTAGTTTTAAGAACATCAAATTTCCAAGGGGCAACTATCAGACCGATATTTGCGAGACGTAAGCACTCTGTTGTCTTTATTGTTCACCACTAAATTTTCTTTTGCGCGCCAGTTGATAAACAGTCAAAACACACTAAATGCAGATTGATCAAACATTTATTCATGCGTACAGCCTGTCACAAATGTCAATAATTAGCAACCGTACCGTTTACTAATTAGTATTTACTGTTTTACTATTATTTCATGGAAAATAAAAGCCAATTTACACAACCTGCATATAGTAATTTGATGTTCTTAAAACAAATATGCTGGTTTTAAGAACATCAAATTTCCAAGGGGCAACTATCAGACCGATAGTTCCGAGAAATAAACACTCTATTGTTTTTATTGTTCACCACTAAATTTTCTTCGGCGCCTACAGCTTGTCACAAATGTCAATAATTCGCAACCGTACATTGGCTAAATAATACGTTATACCTGTCAGAATTGAAAAATCACTGTCTTTCCGATCTGCCTAACTTCGCGGCCGTCAAACTATTCAAAGCTTTTCACGGATGAGTACTGTCAATCCAGGTATTTTCCGAGGACGGGCACTATGGGCTGATAGTGTCTCTCCATGGATAAACATTATCGCGTCACGTGATCGATTTAAACCAATAAGAACTGGAGAAAATTTAGTGGTGAACTATAAGGGCTGATAGTGTCTCTCCACGGATGGACACTATCGCGTCAGGTGATCAACTTAAACCGATAAGAATCGGAGAAAATTTAGTGGTGAACTATAAACTCTGATAAAGCACGCCCTTTCCACCAATGATAGTGCAAGTTGTATCCAACCTCTATGATTACAACTATTACCCAAAAAAATCGGCACATTTTTTGGAAAACATAAGGAGTCGTATATTTACTTTCCAATTCTTCTCCTTTTTCCTATATCTTCATAGCACCCTATCCTCGGGTATTGATGGTATGCCCAACTTTGATTTAACGTTTCCGATAAATGAGTCAGCCATAAACCATGAAAGCTTACCCTCGTAGTAACTCACTTTCATGATCTGGAACTCCATACCCAGATTTTAATTTTTTTTTTCTTTCACATAACATCAACATTACAAATATTACATTAAAAATATTAGTTACAAATATTAGTTATATTGTCATGGGCTTAGATTTCCACAGGGTAAACTGTCTGTCTCGCACATGTACAAGTCATTTTCTTTGTCGACACTGTCATCACAAATGTATGTTTTTTTTATTTTTTAGCCCTCACCCCTCCCCCCCATTTCTCACAGACAAGGTTGGGTGGTAGGAAAGACGGGAAGGGATGAGTTGTAACTTAGCGAGGTGTCTCGAAATATAGGGAACCCCCTTCCAGCCACCGTCACCCCCCTCCCCCGTCATCCACTTAAATCTCATTTTGTCTAGGTCTGTTTCTTCTCGTGTTTTTAAATCTAAAACGTCACATTATTTGCCCGCAGTTGTAAGGAAATTTGAAATATTTCCATTATAAGATCATGAAATTGACAAACAATACACTGGAGAACTATTTTTTTTTAATAGCTTTGCACTAAGTTTCCAGTATCGACTATTCCGAAGCAACAGCTTTGAATGAAAGTTTACTTGGTAATATGACGTAATAATCTGATGCTTGTTTACTTAACAAGATATTATATTTCTTAATAGTGAATGTAAGTAATGTCCCACCACAGACGTTGCTGCCATTTCATAAAACCCTTCTGACACTTATCTTCTATTTCAAGATCTTTATAAGAAAACGTTTCTTTTCCAAATGTTACTAACTCACTGTAAGAGCCCGTGGTCTTTTTCGCAATTGCTTGATAGGTGGCTAAAACAATTCAGAATTAAACAGACACCTTTTTCGCCGATGTCAACGACATCTCTCTGTTATCACAAGTACTTCTACGAAATACATAATATGTTTTTGTTAAATTCAGAACAGACCGTCAAAGCGTATGATATAAATTATTGTTACAGAGTTGACAAACTCGTGCGTGTCATTATCCCCTCAAGTTATTCTTCATCATTTGACCGCAACACATTCTCAATGTTAAGATTATAGCTACGTACGAAAAGCCATACTGATTTCAGACTGTTAGAGTGCAGCAGGCGTCTTTACTGCTTGACCTCAAATCTTCACTGATCTCATTGAACATCGGTAAAAGAAGGTCAGTGAAGATTCGTATCAAACTTGATATGAACAAACAGTAATAGTCAATCCGATGCCTCCAGAACATACAATCATCTGGAGCAGTTTCTCATCGTTTTAGGTTGCACAGTGTGATGATTGGTCTGTGTGATAGTGTGATCTTTCTACATAACCCTGGTGAAAGAGTGTGATTCGATTTCTGAAAAAAAAAAGCTTTGTTATCTCAAGTTTTAGATCCCTATTTGACTTTTGAACTGGAAAAAAGATCCTTTTCAACGTTTAGAGCGCTATCCGAGTCAGTATCGTTAGATAAACTTTGTTTACTCCAGGAATGTAATAGTTACTTGACCATGACCAGCGGTTTTATAACAACATTCATTGTCCTGATTGCTTCCATTGTTGTAGGAGCCTCCCCCACCCGCGCAAGAATCAAAAGTTTTCCATCCACCGCCTCCCCCAGAGTATCCTCCTCCTCCTCCTGCTCCTTTAGATCCATAAGCTCCACCACCTCCGCCAAACCCTCCATCGGCAAAGTTATACCTGGCTCTTCCACCCACCCCTCCCTGATTAAATCCCTTACCACCTTCTCCACCATATCTATGTCTTCCATAGCTTCCACTGGAGTAAAACCCGCCACCACCACCAGCTGAAATACGATGAATATATTTTAAGATTTTAGTAAACAAAAGCGAGACTTCATTCAAATAGGATTCTAACCCATTCGATATTTGGAATTTTTTTATTCGTATTCTTAAACGCTCCAATAAATGCATATCAGCTCTGCCAAACCTTTATGTAAGGCATTTTATTTGAGCCGCTACCCGTGAGGTTTGTTATTTGTATATGGCTTATGTAATACCCAGCTGTATAAACTGTTTTGTCGTACTTTTCCTGTCTAAGATACTGAGAGTTGATTCAACGCGTCACCTAAAGCTAAGTTGCAGGTTTATGGCTGATGATTATTTGACCCGCACGGCCCCGCGCGCGCAATCCTATTATAAACCGTTGTGAAAGCTGACGTGTGTAGGGTCGGATGGGTTAATGAACTGTGAGTTTCTTTGTTCTGACACGAAAAAAAAAAAGGAAAAGTTTTTCCTGCAGGATCTTTATCACGAATGTTCAGCGTGCGCTCGTGCATCGCGTCCTATCTTGGGTGGGACCAGATTTTCCAAGTGGTGATATGATAAGATGCTTGTTGATTAAATTTGGTCGAGCTGGACCAAATTTAATCAACAAGCTTGACTCGTCTTTACAATAAATATGACCTATACAAGGGTCTCAATGGGGTTAACCGTCAACTGCAACATGGCCAGAATATTCCGTCAACCGTCAAAAAGGCAATATTTTTGCCGTCAACCATCAAATAAGCAAGCCAATGTTAGCCGTCAAATGTCTCAGATATCCTTAATTAAAAACTAAACGATGACCTTGATTGGGGTCAAGGTCTATTGTTTATAAATGAAATTTTTGATAATCACAAAAATACATTTATGTAAGTCTTTTAACTTCTATTCACAAGTAAAACTGGTTAGCGGCATAACTGACCTCCGGTTTGGAAACACATCCGGTGTCGTATAACGTTAGTCATTTATCAATAAAAGGTGTCATAAATTAACAATTCTTTACAAACGGGTCATAATGAAAAATTGCATACAACTGCGTGCGTTTAGTTGGTTTTATAAACGATATTCCAGAAAATTAACCGTCAAAAGGGCTTATTTTTGACCGTCAACAGTCAACTTGACCTTACCCCCCCTCCCTCATTGACTTTCTCTAAAATTACATGGCATTATTAAGAAATCTCGAGGAAACCGAGGGGGATAAAGGCGCATTAATTTTAACAACACGAAAGCTTATCGGATATAAATGGTCATCACTCAGAGACAACCAAACACCAAGGCTAAGCATGTACAGCGAGACCGCTGCTTGATCTTGAACACCAGACAATCGAACTCCTCTGCAACAAGGCAGCAAATCTCGAAATGCGAGTTTGCGGTCCCAAAATTTTTATTTACGAACATTTGTAGCCCAACTAGAACAAAAAACCGGTTTAGAGCGGCTGTACACTAGAAGATCATTTGATGAGAACGATATCGATGTTTGCGTCGTGTCGGAAACACACCTTGAGCCAAATAAACCTGTCCCAATTGTCAACATACCTAATTACAACAACAAACATATGAAACATATGTGTGATACCTAATTACAATATTTAAAAATGGATAAAGTGTAGTCAGGAGATGTCATGAGTTTTATGGAAATTGGTTGCCTCTGACTGCTGTTATTTCTGAAACAGATGTTTCGGCTAATGCTTAAGCCTTCATCAGTGATATGAAAAACGAAGATCGTTATCATACGTTATTTAAAATGAGTGGGTACATTTCGCTGACCCCCAGTCCATGGACTACCTTCGATGGACTACCTGAATGGACTACCCATATGGACTACTTAAATGGACTACCCATGAGGACTACCCTAAATTACCTACCTTCACGCGAGCGAATCGAGCGAAGAGAGGGACTTCATTCTTTTTTGTACCAAACGCGTTCAACCGGTGACAACCTGTTAAGTCTGTTAACTCCACCTCAATTTGTCGCCCGCTATATTCCCATGGCTGTTATTAAAGAGAAAACAAAAATGCTTTGAGAATCTACCTGGAATGCTTGATCGCTCTTGACTGACGCACAGTTGGTGTTGTTGTGTAGCTTTAGTTTAAGCTCCAATGTACTGCTCTAATCATCTGAAGATCGCAATATCCGTGAAAATAACCACACTGTAGAGCTGGGCCCAGAGATATTTCCTAGAATGTAACTATTTCCTGCTGACATAGCAGGAAATAGTTACACTTACGGACAAAGAAATTCAGGGGTCGCACTACCGCTTTTGGCGTTTACATTGGACATAAAATCTGTCATCACGTGCTTACGACAAGTGCGACCCTTTGTTGCAACCAGCCATAACTATGTCCGAAGGACCCAAAGATCAGAAAATCCGATGTCCTGCCTCTCGAGGACAGCCAAGCTTATAAGACAGTAATTGTAACAGCCAAGACAGTAACAGTAACGGCCAAGCTTGTAAGATCGAAGATTATAAATTCGAATTACTAACTACCCTTCAAGCGCGATGATTGAATAAAAAACAAAGAAGAACAGCTGACCAGCGGCATTAAGAAAACAAAATGGCGATCATCGATCATGGATCTCTCTTTTTTTAAAGGTAGGTAATTTAGGGTAGTCCACATGGGAAGTCCTTTTAGGTAGTCCATCGGGGGTAGTCCATGGACTGGGGGTCAGCGAAATGTACCCACTCATTTTAAATAACGTATGATAACGATCTTCGTTTTTCATATCACTGATGAAGGCTTAAGCATTAGCCGAAACGTCTTTTTCAGAAATAACAATAGTCAGAGGCAACCAATTTCCTAATTACAACATATTCATATGGAACGGGAACTGGTCAAGAGTTTTGAGGGAAAAAGGGGGAATTGCTGTATATGTGAGAAGTAACCTAGATGCTGTTTATGTTTATAGCTTAGAACTATATAGTTTAATTTTTAAATATGATCTTTTGAAAATACGCAGCAAGTTCTATTTTTCATATTTGTATATTTCAGCGCACCGCACATGTTTTTATCTATGGTAACTCGAATTATTTATATTTTATCTCAGAGTTATTAGAGAGTCATGTGCCTCGATGCATATATCGAGTTATGGATGTACGCGGGAAGTTTGAAGACCACAAGAGAAGAGTTGCTCGAAGTTCAGCCGGGAGCTACTCTAGGCTCTAGAGTAGTCAATGCAGCACTAGAAATAATATCGACCGTCAAGGGAAACTTACAAATTTCCTGAATTTACGAGTCCCGTGTGGTAAATTTACCTCCTTGAATTGTTGGTTACTAGAATTGACGATCAAAAATAGCGTCGCTTTGTATTGAAAATCTTAAAAAAATTTACGATTTCAATGGAAAATCGTCTATTAAACAACACTTTTGGGACGTACATGTATCAACACTTCAAAATAACATTACCCCAACGTCGCGAAGCCTCAGTTGAAGCCAAAAACCTCAGTTTTGTTTTCAGCCATATTCGTGCATCGCGTTTGGGAATTAAAGTATCCATATCTCGACTACAAAACTAATTCCATCGCTTTGGAGAGCTATATGCTCATTGTTTTTCGAAACGATTATTATTTAGAAAATTTTCTTTTCAAATAGAGCTCCAAAAGTCCTATATCATTTGGGATAGAACGGAAAAACAATCTTGAAAGTTTTGAAACCTCGCGGCTAAACTCAACGGGAACTTTTTCATAAATTATAAGCCAACTGAGCGCGCGTCATCATGTGGCTATGATAGAACGTTAAATGAACAGTTGAGATTTGAGGAATCATTGCAATAAACTCTTACCTAAAGTTTTACTATCACCAGTAGTCCGTGCACCATGTCCATTCCTTCCCCCTGACCTTGATTTGTGTCCAGAATTCCCTTCTGTGTTTGTGTTCGCGTCACATCCTTTGCGTCTTGACCTAATTGCACTTACCCCTCCTCCGCCTCCTGCTATTATCAAAGGTGTGTTGGCTCTCCTCACCACAAATGTACCTCCACCACCTCCTGAAGAGCGATCCTTCTTGTTTCTTCCTCCTTCTTGACCGACAAGTATCCGAATGACCTCACCCTTATTTAAGGGGAACGATCCAACCATTCTCGCTCCTCTTCCTCGGTACTTAGCACTTTTAAAGTATGGATCATACCCTGCTGAAGCTCCTATTGCTTCTATTCTGTATTCACCAGTGTATGGCACAGTCCACTGTTGAACACCGCGGGACAGTGTAACTTGTCTGTGATGATCCTGTCCTGTGTAGTGACTGCCCAGCGTTGTTGGACCAAATTTTCCACGGGCGTTGAGGTTTGTAAAAACGGCCTTGAATGCTGAAAGGACAGAGTTACGCCATCTACATCGTTATAAACATAATTATCATAGCTTTTTTTTTAATTTTAACTGGAGGTGGATTTGCATGTACAAAAAGTGACATGGAAAAGTTAAAATCTTGTAGATTGATTCTTAAAACTACTCATCCATTGATTTAATTATTAAGCTATTGATTCTTTTCTTTTATTCGATAATTTATTCGATCAATTATCTTTCAATTGACGCATACCCACTTGTCACGAAATATTTTTCCCCGAGAGAATATCAAGCATCGCATGTGGTTGAAATGTTGTGTCGGTCTTCTTTGTTAAAACTGATCGCTGTTGAAATAGGCCTTCGACTAAAACTGTCCGTTCTCTCCGTCATTTCCAAAGTTAAAGAAAAGTCTTTATACTTCAATCTTTAAACTTTCCCTTTTTAAGTTTGAATGAGAGATAAACCCTTCCTCTTACAAAGCCACTCTTAGATTACCACCTTATTGCTTCTGGAAATCGGGAAAGCGAGTTTTATCAATGCCGCTGGGCTAGTTTCAGCCCTTTCTTCCCTCTCTCTGAACATTTCCTTCTCTACTGCATTCGCATTTCCCACTTCAGTGCTCATGAATAACTGAGCTAGGTCAGTATGATGGAGCCCTGACTTCTTAAATAACCTTAAGGCATAGAGCCTCTTATTAGCCCTTCTAACGATATACCCATCATGCTGGTTCCACTTGAGGTCATTAGATATATACACCCCTAAGAGCTGATAACTTGAGACTCTTTCTATGTCATTTCCTGGTATTCAAGAAAGTTGAAAATCATCTCTTTGCGCTTCTTTGGATTTAAGCGTATACCTCGGCCAGTAGCATAACCACAGATATCCTGAACAACAAACGGGAGAGAACTTGGGCTACATGTGGGCATACGCTCAAACACAGTTGTTTAATCCACAAACCCAGTACGCAGATAACCAAGGCACCAAAAAGTGCTCATCCCCGGTGTAATAGCCACAGCTGACGTCATGAGTCGCGTACTATCAAGTTTCAAATAAATATAACTCTTACTCATGGTAATTGTGTAGTTCTCTGGTTCTTGTAGCTCTTATACTATCACACTTCACATAATATAGCTCTTAGTCACGGTAATTTTGTAGTTCCTGTAGTTCTCTGGTTCTTGTGGTTCTCCTGGTTTTCTTGGTTCTCACCGGTAGTATTTTCTAGGCCCCTTAAGATCCTACCAGTTAGAGGTGTAGGACCAAATAAAAAAAACGTAAATGTAATCTTGAAAAAATAAGATTAATAGAAGTGTAATACTAATTAAGAGTACAGAAAAGTAAACTGTAAAGCAAACCATAGTAAAAAATTGAGCAAAGTCGACTAAATATGCATGCTGCATTTCTAGCCGGTAGTATTTTCTAAGCCTCCCAAGATCCTACCAGCTAGAGGTACAAGACAACATAAATTTCATCTTGGAGATCTTTCTAACCAGTAGCACGATGAAAAGGGCTTTACAGTGGTGATACTATTCATACGTTTTATTTACCATTGCAAGCGTAGGTCCCTGCGACTACAGTGTTAAGTCTGTTAAGCTAACACTCTGCTGAACTGAACATGAGACTTCAGATCGACGAGGATGAAGTGAAGAGACATACAAACGTTTTAGCGAAATTTCCTTGATTTAACCTCTACAATGTCTTATTCACATGTAAAGTATGTAATAACGTTCAAATCTGGTTAAATCACGTCGCTTGGGTGTTGTTAAATCGCAAATGGTGTTATTGGAATAGTTAGCCATACTTTTAATGGCCGACAATTTCCGATAATCGCCCGACTCGATAACTCGTCACTAGTGCTTCTCGGGCGTACCTCTGGTTGGTAGGACTTTGGCACAACCTACAACCTGAGGGGGAGGGGAAGAACCACGAGAACCAGAGGAAGTAGAGAACTACGAAAACCACGAGAACCAAGAGAACCACGAGAACCACGAGAACCAGGAAAACCAAGAGAACCACGAGAACCAAGAGAACCAATAGAACCAATAGAACCACGAGAACCACAAGAAGAAGAGAACTACAGAGAACTACACAATTACCGTGACTAAGAGTTAAACTATGCGAAGTCTGATAGTATAGGAACAACAAGAACCAGAGAACTACCGAGGACTACACAATCACCGTGACTCAGAGTTCTATTTATTTGAAGTTTGATAGTACGCGACTCATGACGTCAGCTATGGCTATTACACCGGGGATCAGCCCAAATGCTTAAGTTTAAGTTGTAGCTTACTGTGATCACCTGGATCAAATCCTTTACTAAAGTCTACAAAAACTATTTGAATATAATTCCAAGGACAATCAAGAAACATCAGTACAAAATGCATGAAATAGAGTCGACTAAAGCATGGATTGTTAATTTTCCAAAAAAAAAAATTGTTTACAGTCAAGCTTATTCCTAACCTACCAAAGTAAAGAGTCTCTTCTGAAACTTTTTGTGACTTTAGATAGCTGGCCGGTTAGGGTTATAAGTCTAGGGTCTTCCTCTCTAGACTTAGAGAGACTGACCCTGGACACTGGTACAACCACAGACTACTTCAGAAAATCTTGAACATAGCTTTCAGATAAAGAAGAGTTGTACAGTTCTTTAACTGTAGTTGCCAGCTTAAAGGCAACTTCTTTCCATACACGGTTTGGGACCTAAGCCAAAAACTCAGAATAATTATAATGAAAGAAATCGTAGCCTACTGTTAGAAGATCTTTCTAACACTCTTTTTGTCCTTGAAAAACTTTCTTTATTTCTTACAACTTGCTCAACAAACAACCCGCATCTAGCTCTGTTCTGAGCGGACCAAGGTCAGGTGACTTATTAGTTCCCGTCGGGGGACACCAACATGGCGTCTTCATACAAAACCTTATAAACTTGAGGGAGACCTTTTTGCGAATATCTCCTGCACGAAACGTTACACAGACCTTAATCTTTGCGAGACTGTTTGAATATCCGTCTTATTTTATCTCTTTGATTCTGGTTAATGATAGTGGGACGATGAAACCCAGCACTAGGTACAGGGCGCTTATTTCCTTCTTGAGAAACAGTAAAATGTGCGAAACAAACCTATTCATTTCAAAAGGATTGAAAAGACTTAAAAATGACGGACTTATTATCCATGGATAATTCCTGGCTAAAAAGGTCGGTCAAGCTGCGATCGTCGCGCAATGAACGAACTGAACATAACAGTTGAAAGACGGAGACATACACCATTGATTTTGTTATGAGGCTTTCAGTGAGAAATTAAGGAAGATAAACCACGGTTGATCTCAATGCACATGTACTCCGCAGTGCTATCACTGATTTAGAATCGGGGCGCTTATTGGTGTAGGAGCGCTTATTAGAATAGGGGCGCTCATCAAAAAATCAAATGTGATGGGGCGCTCTTTAGAGAGGGGGCGCATATTGTAAGGAGGGCAACAGATCGAATCATTACGGTACTTATATAATGTAGTTAATTGAAAATTGACTGTGTGCTTGTTTGTTTGTTTTTCTGTTTGATTATTATTTTTCTTTTATGCTATAAAAGGAACATCAGGGTTACGGTTTAAAGTGCACCTAAACCCAAAAATTTGTTTTCGCTTAACGAAATAAGCGTATTTTTGAAGTATTTTTGTGCAAAAATTTTTATATTTGATCAAATCCTCAATTTTCTGTGCCCAGTCAAAATACGGAAAATCGACCTCCACCTTGGCTCACGACCGAGTTTAAAGAGGAAGGGTTCTAGAAGGTAATGTGACGTCAAATTGAGAACACGAAAGTCTGCATTTCACACATTTTCACCTGTTTGGGAAGGTTGTCGTCGATATTGTTCGAAATATGCCAACTAGGTGTGTTGTATGAGGAATGTATGAGGAATGCACCGCCCCCCGGTTAGCTAATAATAATAATAATAATAATATAACTCTCAAAAAAGAAACGACAACTTTGAGTTTAAATACAAGACATGTTTAAATACAAGACATGTTTCGACATTCTCATGTCATCTTTAGTTGCAAATGAGCTTTTAGCGGTTGTACATTTGAATTTATATTAAGATACGTTACAAATTACGTGTCAGGGATTACGTTACAATTTGAATATTAAATACGCGAAAAATGTAAATAGCGCGCGCTCGACTAGATCAAAAAATAATAACAATAATAATAAAAATGATAATGATAATAAAATAGAAGACCAAGGAACAACATAATCAAAAGGAAAGAGACAATTCTAGATGCTCCAATTGCTGATTAAGAATGGGTTTTTCCCACTTAATATGCAATGCCTCTTTGATCTTAATTTAAAGCGAAACCTGGTTCTACCTTTTTTTTCAACGGAGACAGTCACCAACCTCTCGTCGCACAATCTCACGTCCGAACAATTGGAAATACTTAAATATGGTCCTTCACATTCTATCTGTACTCCGACCATTAGCAAAACAAATGTTTTTTCTTGTTTTGAGCTGATGATCGCACCATGGTCAGAAATCTACTCGACAGGAAGCTAAATGGAAAACTGGTCGCAGACCTTCCTCATCTTGCCCAATCGTACGTTTCTTCACACCAACCTTCTGAAGCGGACTTAAAGTGGGGACTAGTACCTGCAAACCTCTTTATGGGACATCATGAAAAAAACTGGCTAGATAACTATTCATTCTCTGAAGTTCTGTTCTACAGACGCTATGTTGATGACACCTTTTGTTTGTTCAACAGCGAGGAGGACGCGCTCTTGTTCTTTGATTATATCAACACCAGGCCCTAGTATTCGTTTCACAATGGAAAGGGAAATTGATAAGAAATTATCTTTTCAAGACATATTGTTAGACAACAGTCATACATCCATCGTCACTAGTGTCTATCGCAAGAAGACGTTCACTGGTCTTCTTACTAATTATTTCAGCTTCGCCCCTTTGATTTACAAACTAGGTTTAGTCAGAACTTTGATCGACAGAGTATATAAGATCAATAATTCCTGGGTTGGTTTTCATCTGGATGTCAAGAAACTTATTTTCTTGCCACGGAAAATTGTTTTTCATCTTGGGTCATAGACAAGATCATTTACAGGTGTCTAGCTAAGAAAAATAATCCTTCTCTTACTGGGCAGAACGCCCCTTCTAACAGCGGTAAACCTTCTTTGCACTATTATAAACTTCCCTATATGTTGGCCGGTTTTCAAACATCGCTCAGGCTAAGTTAAGACTACTACTCAAACGTTATTGTAGAGCTGATTTAGATATTAAGTTAATCTTCAGTACTTTTAAACTCAGAAACATGTTCAGTGTGAAGGATTCAGTACCGCTAGGTCTACGTTCTCGTGTCGTTTATAAATTTTCGTGTGCTGACTGTAATGTCAGTTATATTGGAGAGACCACTCGCCACATTTGTACACGAGTTCGTAAGCTCCTCTTGTCGGACAAAACTTCGCATATTTACAAGCACTTGCAATCTTCAAGGGCCTGTCTTGACTCTTGTGGTACTGAATGTTTCAGGATCGTAGATTCTGCCGCTTCAAAATATCAAATTAAGATCAAAGAGGCATTGCATATTAAGTGGGAAAAACCCATTCTTAATCAGCAATTAAAGCATCTAGAATTGTCTCTTTCCTTTTGATTATGTTGTTTCTTGGTCTTCTATTTTATTATCATTATTATTTTTATTATTATGACTATTTTTTGATCTAGTCTAGCGCGCGCTATTTACATTTTTAGCGTATTTAACATCCAAATTGTAACGTAATCCCTGGCACGTAATTTGTAACGTACCTTAATATAAATTCAAATGTACAACCGTTAAAAGTTCATTTGCAACTGAAGATGACATGGGAATGTCGAAACATGTCTTGTAAATTTAAACTCAAATTTAAACTCAAAGTTGTCGTTTCTATTTTGAGAATTATTGTCACTCTGCTGTCTTCACGTCCTTTTGGTAATGATAATATACCTTTTATTTGCCACGTTGCAGAATTAACTGAATTAAAGGGTTAAATTTACAGTCAATAATCAATTAAAACTACAATTATTATAAGAACAATAAAATTAACTATTTACATGTTTGCATATTTACTATTGAAAGAGATAAAGGAACCTGAACGCTGGGTCCGACAACGACTCCTATCAGTGTAAACAATACTTCTGTTGTTGTCGCCGGATCGAAGGTTGTAACTTTGACCACTCGTTGCTGTTCTCGGTATAAGAAAGTTAATGGGGTGGGATTTTTTCGACATCTTCTGAACATATTTACAGCAGAGCTGGGTTCGTCTTTCTTTCAGGCTGTCAAGGTTAGTAACATTAAGGGCTTCTAAATAACTATGGCATGGATAGATAATATGTAGAGCCCTCTTTTGTATTGATTCCTGCTTATTAGAAAGAAATTCAGGAATATCTTGCCAGGCTTGTACGCCGTGTTCTAATATGGGTCTTATTGTTGTCAGGTAAACCATAAGAATTCCACCTCTATTAACACCAACTCTTTTTAGAATCCTTAGGGAATACAGGCGCTTCGAGGCTTTTTTTTGAAATATAATCAATATGCTCACTCCACTTTAAATCATTACTGATAATAATACCGAGTAATTTATAAGTTGTCGCATGTTCAACTGTGTTGTTACCTAGGACAATTGGTCTCGTAGTAAAATTATCATTTTGCATGAAGTTAATTAACATTTCTTTACACTTTTTCGGATTTAATTTCATATTGTATTCTATGGAAAACTTGTAGATGTCATTGGCAGCTACATTTAGTAAGCTAATACCATTCCTTGGTAAAATTTCCAATGCCGTGGTATCATCAACGAATTTAATTCTCAAATGCCAGTCACACAAAAGATTGTTGGTCATTACAGCGAACAAAATCACACCCAGTTTCGTCCCTTGCGGGATGCCTCCCCTGGGTGATTTCCAATCAGAAAGAGAGTTTCCAATCCTTACCGCTTGCAATCTCTCAGTCAAGAAGGCCCTAATCAATTTAATTAATACAGTATCTATATCGAAAGATGCCAACTCCCCGAGAAGGATGGAATGATCAATCAAGTCAAAGCCCTTTGAGTAATCAGCAAAGAACATTCTTACTTCACAGTTCCCGCTATCTGTTGCCTCGGACATCGCCTGTAGGATATAAATCAAGGTGTCCGTGGTGGAGTGCCCCTCTCTTGCGTACTAGCGTGGGTCAAGTTTTTCCAAGATTTGCGCTACAAGTCTGCTGCGCGCAAACCCTTTCATGACTTTGGCAAGGGTGCAGGTCAGGGAGATAGGTCTCAAATCCGTTTGGATTTCTTGTGGCGGGGAAACCTTGGGCAGGGGGTTGATTATGGATTGTTTCAGCAGATCAGGTACATAGCCCTCCCTGAGTGAGCAGTTATAAATGTCCATAATTACCGGGGCGAGTTCAGGTGCGCATTCTTTTAGGAACCTGTTGGGTAACATGTCAGCGCCAATTGCTTTCCCAATATTCAGGCTTGATAAGGAGTCCTGCACCTCCCTGACACTCACTAGAAGGCCGGGAGGGGACCTGTTGATTGGTTACATCGGTTGGGGTCAATTGGTTAGAGCGCCGGATTGTGTTGTTCGGGAGGTCGAGGGTTGGAGTCCCGGCCGGACCAATACTCACGGTCTTAAAATAACTGGGGAGAATTTGCTAGCTTTCTATAATATCAAGAAATGGATAGATATTCTAGTCTTCTCGGATAAGGACGAATAAACCGTAGGCCCCGTCTCCTGCAGGGTTAGGAGACGGGACCTCCATTTATTCGTCCCTATCCGAGAAGACTTGAATATCTAACCATTACTTGATGTTATAGAAAGGTAGCATATTCTTCTCAATTATTTTAAGACCCTGAGCGTTGGTCCGGCCGGGGCTCGAACCCTCGACCTTCCGCACAACAGTCCAGTGCTCTATTCACTGAGCTAACCGGGAGGCGGTCCGTGATACCTACCATAAATCGGTAATATGACTGGTTTATGATGCATGAAAAATACGGCAATCTGATTGGTGTGACCGACATACCACTCTTTACGCTGACTTAGAAGTTTTTTTATTTTTTTTTTTAATTGAACAACTCAATTATGGATAGGACTTTCTCCTGTTCTCCTTTCTCCGAAAAGGCGGATCATTTCTCACACTTATTGATCATGACGTTAAACTCGGTTTTACATTCGCTTATGTAGGACCTGTCTGTGTTATTGCAGAATATTGCGATATGGATACACGATGGATGTTTGGAGAGCAAAAGAGAAGCCCTTTGTCATTTCTAGGCAAATAAAAACAAACAAGGATTATAAATCTATTGTTTTCGATGATGGACAAATGTGTTTTCGATGATGGACAAATGGCAAAGTTACCTGCACATTTCTTGCCATCGCCAGTAAACCCTTCTTTGCAGCTGCAGTTGAAGGAACCTTCGGTATTATTACAGTAAGCATGGACACCACAGTTCTGGGCATCTGTGGCACATTCGTTTACATCTGAAAAAACAAATGCTTTCCGTTGAAACGAAATGATGACAAATGATAAAAGTATATTAAAAAATTAGTCTGATCGTTTAACCTGTGATATGCGACTTTTTACAATACTGAGGTGTCACTGAAAGTGCACACGTCAAATTATGTTTATTATTCGATTCACATAAACAACCAATCCAAAAGTAAGCAGTCAGAAATCAAAGTAATTAATAAACACAGTATTAAGAAAGGACACGTGTTTTTTAAGGCAAACAGAGGGCGTGAGACGTGCGTGACGTAATGTGATCAATCATTGTAGAAAGAAAATATAACTGCTTAAAAACATTGTAAACTTGACTAAACTCTAATCAAAAATAATATCATGCAACCAAAACTAAAAGAACACATTTTGTCCTCTAGACTCGTAAATCGTTTGATGATAGGAAGTAGCTCCCTAGACACGAAACTTACAATAAAATGAACACTGCGATGGATGCATAGCGTAGTAAATGACACATTAGCAGCCTACTGATTCATCTACATTACTGTACACAGCTCTCTTATGAAAATCGTCGATGCATATGATACGCTCGTCAAGTTTAGGTAATATAAACAAAATGATCTCGATGCCTGGAACCATTTAGATGGACAGATCTCATAGTTACCTGTGCATTTTTTGCCATCGCCATTAAACCCAACCTTGCAGCTGCAGTTAAAAGAACCTTCGGTATTGTTGCACTCAGCATTGACGTCGCAGTTGTGGGTATTGGAGGTACACTCGTCTACATCTGTTAACAATGAAATTAAAAAAATATATTGATAAAAGCTATTCCAGGTGTGTTCTGATTAAATGACCTTGTGACAATTGACAAGACTGAAAGCTTACGGAAAGTGCACCACATGGAATGATGTTTGAGGACCAGTCATTTATCGAAGGGGGAGGGGGATTTGGAGGATCACATGCTTTTCAGGGGGGACGAATACAAAGTGTTGTAACAACCGCAAGTCTTTTCTAAATAAATGGCTGTTTAACAACAAAAGACAGCTTGGCACCGCCAACGACAGCTTGGCACCGCCAAGCGATAACCACGACCATGCGGAAACCGAACCACCGGAACCGTCGGAATGGACTGGATATTACATTTTTCCCTTTTTACAGAAAAAGTCTTTTCCTTATACAAAAGAAAACGCAACTAGAAAGCAATGTCCAATGTCTCCCAACTTCTAAGCTCCGACAGAAAATATTTCAGGTCATAATGTCTAGGTCCGGTGAGCAGAAGGTCAGTACAGTCTAGGTAACATAGTCTTTCAGATAGTCTGGTCGTCTCCGATCACGCCTTGGTCTGGTTACAGCTGCTGGGATCTCTGATGGTTTGTTCTGTTCCATTTGGTCACTGCTGCTGGTTTCAGCTGTTTCCTCGGTGTTGGTGTTAATCTCTTCTGGGATTGACTGAGGGTTGGAATTCATCAGGATTTTCTCTCTCCAATCCTCTGAGATTATTTCTTTCTCTGGGTCGTCCCTCTCTTCGCTGGTGTTGTCCTGGATTAACGCGTTAGCAATCTTGCACTGACTTGCATCTCCATACAGTTCCTGTCCATCTGTTATCCTCCGTGCTGCAATCCTTGATCTGTTGGTTCGAGCTACAGTGTAGAATGCTGGTTCATATGTTGTGGACCATTTGCTCCTCTTTTTTTGCTTTAACAGTACACGATCTCCTACAGAGAAGTTGTGTTCCGTGGTGTTCCTGTTCTCAGCATTCTTTTTTGTCTTTCCTTTGTATCTCTCATCCCTCTTATTGATGGCTGTGTCACGAGCATTCTCACTACTCTCCCTCACTTGATGGTCTAACTTTGTGATGACTTGTCTGTTCATAAGGGCTTCATACGGTGCTACTTCGGTGGTAGGGTGTGGTGTTGAGCGGTAGCCTGTCAGCATTTCTTTAATTCTTGACTTTCACCCACGTGACACCACACTTGACAACGGTTGCTATCCGCCATTAGTGTGCCCCTCAAGCGTAAACAGACAAAGAGATGCATAGTCGCTTTTACTGAATATGGTTCATTGTAGAGTGGTTGTATGTACTTCTGAAAGCGGAAAATTCATCGTGGCTGTCATACAATACCCAAGATTGTATTGAATCAAGGAGAAGAGCACGAAGAGCTTACGAGAGAGAGAAGAAGGCGCTGGATTTAAGCGATCAGTCGAGGCGATTACAGAGACGAAGAGAATCCTCGACAGTGAACGAGTATGTGGGTTACATTTTGTTACTGGAAAAGCTGCAGCCTCCTGGGATAGATATCACATCGACTGGGTGCCAACTCTAAACCTCGGAAAAGAACAAGCGAAGCAACCTACAGTCAAAGAAGAAGTGAGTTTGAGGGCCAAAAGGGCCAAAGAGCGCAGGAAGAGAAACATCGAGCGTCAACAAATCGAAGCAGCTAACTAGAAAAAAGAGCTGGAGCAAAGTGGTCTGGTTGTACAAAACATAGAATTTACCACTGCTAGCGCATCTACTGACAATGTTTCAAGCTCAGACCCTGATGAAGCTTGTGGCAGTACAAACTATGGATATTTTGACGGAAACGAGAGAGAGAAGGGAAATCGAACGGTCGTCCACATAATGGTTGATCGTTCTACTTCAACAGAGGACTTTGAAATAGTTTCTGAAGGCAGGAGAAATAGGGGAATTCAGGCACTAGAATTCAATAGTTGTTTAAGAACTCTGTGTATCATGCTCCAGACAAGGACCTCTTCCATTCTCCATATAAAGTTCGCCTTTACACCGGATTGTATCCATTTGAAGTACTTAATGGTAGTATTCATCATCATCATCATCATCATCATCATGTTTATTTGTTCAAGCAGGTTGAATTTATTGGCAACTGTATAAGCTGATGTGGACCTGCTGTTTTCCCACCCAACCCACCCCAGGGGAGGACATCCAGCACACAGTAATCTCGTGCGTGGGAAATTAACGTCTTTTTACCCCTTACCCTTTAAGAGACGGGACCTCCGGCTTTACGTCCTATCCGAGAAGACGAAACAATGTGAGTGAAGTGTCTTGCTTAAGGACTCAACGTTAAGCCCCAGCCAGGACTTGAACCCGGGCCGTTTAACCCAGAGTCCAGCGCATGTACGTCACCGTACGTATCAAGACGATCCAATTTAACCAATTTGAACAGCTTTCAAGAATTTATCATAATTTTGATGAAGTACGGTTAAATGTACTATTTCAAGATGTACTATTTTTAGCATACCGTTTTAAGGTGTCCTTAACAAGTGTGTCAAGGATATTCACCTCATGGATACATGCAATGGACTTGAGGTGGTCTGACTTCATTTATTGGCCAGAAAAGGAACAGCTATGGAAGACTATGCCAATATGTTTTCAATATACCTTTGGTCGTAACTATAATAATTGATTGTTTTGAGGTTTTTATTGAGAAACCAACAAATCTTATAGCCAGAGCTCAGACCTTTTCTTCATACAAGAATAATACCACTGTTAAGATTCTGATTGGAATTACACCCCAAGAAACTGTCTCTTTTGTTTCTGAAGCTTGGGTAGGAAGAACTTCGGATAAATTCTTAAACGGGAACTTTGGAATCCTAGAAAAACTGATACCAGGAGATACTACTGGCAGATAGAGGATTCACAATTTCTGAGAGTGTTGGGTTAAAGCAAGGAGAGCTAGTGATTCCTGCATTCACCAAAGGAAAAGCTCAACTAGACCCAGTAGATGTAGAGCGTTCAAGAGGCATATCCAATGTTAGGATCCTTGTGGAGCGAGTTATAGGTTTACCACAAAGGAAATACACTATTAGAAAGTACACTCCCCACTAAATTCTTGAGTTGTGACCTAAATGGTCCCACAGAGAACCAGGTACCCATAATAGATCATATTCTAAGAGTTTGTTCAGCCCTTGTAAATTTTTGCCCACCGATAGCACCATTTGACTATCTAATTTTTAAATCAGTTTTTATTGTTTTCGAAAATAATACCCTGGTAGAAATCTTTCCCAGAATCCGACAGGATATTGGAACCTTGATTATCCTATCAAGATCCTGTGGGATCCTAAGACTCTTATAAATGGGGATCCTAATCCTGGACAGAATCCTGTTTGGGATCCTGAGAGAATCCTACAGGATCCTGGAAAATATTTTCACAAGGGTAGTGCAAGAACTTTGTAATATATTAGTGACCAACCACTTCTAATGACCTACACTTTGGGCAGATACCTAAATACAATTTTGTACAGCTTGATTACTTTCAAAATATGCATTGCCACTATGGTAACTAATTATTGATATCTATTAGTGGAATGGTTTTCAATAATCCATTAAATACACTTTAGGGTAATACACCATAGTTCCATTTCTGTTATTTTGATCTTTACACTCTACTCATCATACTTTGTTTCACAGGTTAATGAAAACCACTCTAACTAATGGACAAAATTATTTAGCTGCTGATTAAGTGAACTAAAAGAGCAAAGAGAAATGTCTTGTTAACAAATAAGTTTTTGTAAACAAGTGTCAATCACTTAAATTGAGAACATTTGTGATGTAAATGCATGTCAAGGATGGCAAATATCAAGCTCATAGTGATTGTGGCTTTAACTAAAAAGCAACAACAACAACAACAAAAATTAATGAATTTTTGAATCAAATATATTTTAAATAGCAAAAGTCATCTTGCATGTTGTCAAAATAATATGAAAAACAGGAACAAAATATTTTCAATATTTTGCAAAATTAGTTCAAAAATGGCTGTATTTTCCTCTAAAAATGAAGTGCAGTATTTGTGCTTAGATTCATATTTCTGGTAAATTCTATGACAAAGTTGTACAATTCTATGTATCAATGTTAATGATTTGACATTATTTTACACCAATAGATATGTTTTTCTATTTATAAAATTCAGAAATGGTCAATATATTCTTATGAAAATAAATTGCAGTATTGGTCTTTAAATTCTTATCTCTGGTTAATTCTATGACAAAAAAATACAATTCTAAGTATCAATGTAAGTGATTTCATATTATTTTACACCAACAAAACTGTTTTAGTATACAAAACTCAGTGATTTCTCCTGCATTTAGATTGCAAACAATTTAAGTGCAAAATAAAAATTAATAAATGGCACAAAGTAGTGTTAATTAAGGATAGTAAACAACAGCTTGCAGTATTTAGTATTACTAGTGTTTTGTGGGTAACTAAATGGCTGCGTTGTTTGCACTCTATTATATGTGGTTCGAGTTTGATTGGAGTATCCATCAAAATATTCAGTGTGATTGTCAAGTTTTTCTTTTAACTTTTTAGCAGAAGAGAAATCAATTTCTTTTGCCCTTGCATAGGTAACATTACTTACATAAGTTGGAAGAGGCCATGAACATTTTACTTGCGTACGAGCCAACTTTTTGTTGATTCGAGTCCAACATTCGATATAAAATAAAACACTGGAAACGTGTGAGCACGATTCAGCTAGACCTGCCTTACAGCCTAAGCAATGAGCGGAGAAATATCTTCTATCTTTTCCTGTAATAAGCCAGCTATCGACGAGAGGACCATTCATACGTTGTTAATGTCGTACTGGAAACAATTCTTCCCTTCACGGACGCCACAGACCCAGAAGCCACTTGGTTGTATGCTTCGAGACTTCTGTAGTTCTTGAACTGGTCGTCAGTATAGTGACTTATTTTCAAAACCAAGAAACTGAACAAGTCCGACTGCTCTACTGGCGGTAAACACGATCAGTCTTCATTTAGAATAGTAGCTGGATCGATGCCGATTTTTTCAATTTTCTGGATGTAACGATTCTTTATATTACGCTCCAGTGATGTAGCATATTTCGAAAATACTGGTACTGACATTTACAGGACTATAAAAGCGCTTTTCAACGAGAAAATTAACAAACACTACCGAAATGGCATTACTTTACATACATTTCCTAGCTGCTGAGGGGCACAGTAATGGCGAACACTGTAATTGGACATGGCTGTGACGTCACGTGAAAGTCACGAATAGCCGCTCCGTCTTGTTAAGCAGTTTCATGAAGCTTTTCGCTTCGCCGTTAGCATGTGCTTGCTAACGGTGACCCGATGATGGTGAAATTCCTCTGTTTTAGCGAACTCTGCAAATTTTTCTGGAGTAGTTGGTTGGAAAGCTGTTGAGTGGGTCTTCACGACTTCGGGATACCTTTTTCTCTTGTCTATCTCGTCTCTTGAGCTAGCCTCAAGACATGTCCTATATATATTGAGAGACTAATTAAGCTGAACTTACTACCCTTGGAACACCGCAGAGAGATTACAAACTTGCTACAATATTTCAAAACATGAAATAGTCAGATAATTACCGATATTCCTGACTATCAGTGCACTTCTGATCCTCGTGATAAAACTCGTAACTATTATCCTAACAACTATAAAATAAGTTTCAAACACAAACAGGACCACTTTAGAAAATATTTTATTAAATAGGACTGCAGGACTGTGGAACACTCTTTCATACAACATGAAATGTAAAGTCTAGCTCCTAACATTTAAATCTAAATTAAACAACCTATCTTTTTCTAAATTCGTCTCATGCAGTACTCCAAGTTAGTATTTTACAAATTAAATAGCTTTATTTTTTTGTAAACATATACTAGCCTATTTACTGTCTTTTTTTATCGTAGAATAGGGGGTAAATCTCAAATGGGATGAAAGTTCTGTTCCTCTCTCTTGCCACTCTACTTTATTTTTTCTTTTCTTGTAATTGTGTGATGTAGATTAGTTGTTTGTATTTGTTGAACCATGGCGAATAAACTAAATTCATAAAAAATTAAATTGTCCATGACTGCTAGATTGTAAAGGCCATCAGGGTAGGGTCCACAGAAGTCTACACCTATGACATCCCACAGTTTCTTGGGTATATCTGTGACTTTGATGGGTTCCTGCCTGTGTTACTTTGTGGTAACCTGGCATTCATAACACTGACCAATGATCTGTTCACTCATACTGTTCATGGTTGGAAACCAATACTTGGCTCTTATCATTTGCTTTATTTTGGTTGTTCCCAGATGTCCAAGGTGGTCTGCAGCCTTAATGACTTTTCTATGTGGGCCTCTGGGTATAAAAATATGATTCATTCGGAAGAGTAACCCATCTACTGCATGTATACAACTCATTCTGCACATTGTAGATCGGCGTAATGCTGAACTTTGCATAGAACTATTTTCCACTCTTGATGTCTCTTATCCTTCCAATGCCATTAAATACGCCACTGCATTAATCAGTGGTTTCCTTGATTTCAGTTTTGAGATCCTTATTTTGCTTGACACTTTTGATACCTGGTGGTTTTTCCTAGATTCTCACGTCATTAGTCTCGTCAAAAGAGCCATCTTCTCTGATCTGTAACATACCCAGCTCTTTAAGGGTACTTTTGCTAATGAGGGGTTAGGAATTGATTCTTCTTCTGGTCACAATCAACCTCGCGACTGCTCCACAGGCCTGGTTCCTTACAATGGCTGTAAACTCTTCTTTCACAGGTAGCTCACTCTGCAAGGTGCTTAGCTTTACCCTGCTTGGTTGTAGTGTAAGTTTCACACTGGACCGATTTGTCAGCGCTTTAAATTGGTGTCCAACTATTAAATTTAGTTCTGCTCCGCTCTTCAATCTTCACCGATACAGTTCTGTCTTCACCATCTGTTTTGATTTTCTTCAATTGCTTTAGAAGTCCTACGGTTTGGCAGAAGAACTCATCATCAGAACTTGGTGAGTTGTCAGCACTTCTTCTTCAGCGATTTTCTTTACACGGCGCTCGTAACTTAGATTCTCTTGTGGTTTGTGATTGCGTTTCGGCTCGTTGCCTTTCTTGCTATTGTGTGGGCCTTTGGACTTGCACACAGAACTAAAGTGATTGAACTTTTGACATTTCATGCATTTTCCTCCGGATGCTGAACAGTTCTTGTCTTCCTCGCGATTTGAGCAGCTTCGATTAAAACAGCGTCAAATCCCATTTTTTGTTGAGGGCTTTTTGGATGAGCGATCGATTCTGTGTTGTTTGAATGAGGTCTTCCAAGACTTGTTCATCGCAGTTGGCTTCGAATACGCAGTTATTGGTTTTCTCTCTTAAACGTGCAGCATAAGAGTTCGTTGTTTCGTCGTGTGACGGTGTCATTTTTAGGAATACGTATCTTACGTGGTGTTTATTTTTCTTCTGCATGAAGCAGTCATTCGGCTTCTTTTTCAACTTTTCGTATTCGTTGCCACCATCTGTCGGGTTTTGCCAACTTTTCTCCAAGCGGACGAGTTCTTTCGTGCCATAAATGATGAGTGCATTTTTCTTGTCGAGTGGTTCCGTAATCTTGAAATGTCTGAATTCCATTCCGATTTCTTCGAGCCAGTCGTCCCACGCTTTTCTTTTAGCAATCAGGTCATCTCCTGGGGCAAATGGTTGAGATTTTAGATTTCTCGTTTCCGTTATAACTTGCACTGAAGCTGCTGAGCCGGCATCAGCTTGTTTTGTTTCAGACATGCTTTTTGGATCGATCGATTCACACGTTGTAGTTTTTTGCTTGCTTGCCTCTTTCGCTGGGCTTCAAACTTTGCTTGCTCGGTTTCTCTTGCTTTCTTCTCTACTTCTGCTGTTTAATCGGGCGTGTTATCCTCCTCGCCAGCATAATAACCGAGGGGGTTCTCTAAATAAATGGCACTCTTAATGATAAAAGAACTTTGTCTGCTACAACTGACAGCGTAACACCGCCACGCGATGTCCACGAACATGAGCAAACCGAACCACTGGAACCGTTGGAATGGACTGGATATTACAAGTGTGATACATTTATCTTAATTAACGTTTTGTGGTGCATTATCACTCAGTATTTTTACGAGTTGTGCCGTATTTTTGACGAGCCCGTAGGGCAAGTCAAAATACAAACAACGAGTAAAAATACTCAGGGATAATACGCAGCAAAACGTTCAATAAGAGATTTATTATCCAACGCGCCAAATTGTTATTTCAGTGCGGATGAATTTCGCGGATATCTATTTACGGGAATGCAAAGCGGAACGGAATCAGCGCGTTGTCGTGTTGCTGTTTCTGTTGTCTTCAATAAATGATCACATTTTAATGTCGTTTGACTGCTTTTTTTCGTTCGTTTTATCTAATTCATTTGGATCGATATTTGCCAGCCATTCCGACTCTTAATCGTTAGAAGAATAATTTGAATTTTCCGCCATTTTTGTTCATAACCTCAATCCAATTAGTCACTTGAGTGATGCGAGAAAACATGTCTAACTGGTTCTCTGAAGTACAAATACCGCGATATGTTTGTACTTGTCTTGACCGTTATTTGTACTCTAATAAGAAGCAAACTTGGATAGTGAATGACTCTTAAGTCCGCGGAAGACATGTCGAGGCATACGAGACCAGGGTAACATGGATGAAAAAGAGACGCATAATTGTAGAAGTTAACATGATTATTATAGCGCACATGCAAAATAACTCTTACCTTTTTCACAGTGGTCTCCCGTGTAACCAGGTGGACACACACACTTGTATCCCTTGTCCGTAAATCCAACCAGGCAAGTTGCATTGTTGTAGCACATGTTGAAACAACACTTGTTCTGATGGGGAAAGATATTCAGCCTTATTTTTCACAAGATAACGGAGATGATATTCATGCGAGCGATTTATACTTTTTATCCATACGGGGCATACTTGGAAATTTTCCTTTTTTGTTTACAAAAATAAAGAAGCCTCGACTTTGCCCTGTTCTGTTGTAAAGTATGACATAAGCGGCTAGAGAATGAAAAAAGTGAAGGGGGGAAGCCAGACGTTATCCCTTCTTGATATTCTGACAAGACACGCTGTCTTAGCCAATCAGAATGCGCATCATATACGAACTTTATTTCATTTATTTAATTATCTTTTTTTGGTTTTGAGCTACAATTGCCTCATCTGAGTTGCCGAAGACTAACAGAAGAGCGAGGAAACTCTCTTAAACGGTACACAAGGCTTTCGAACAGCAGTAAACTCAAAAACAAAAAACAAAATAAAAATAAAACTTTTACCTCTGTGCCCCTATACATAAAGCCTGCCATCGGTTTTAGATCATTTGGGTGTTGTAAGTGGTCCGACTCACTCAATTCACATAACACTTTATCTTTTTCTCCAGAGGTTCCCATGTTGATCGATTTACATCTGTCTTCCATAGTACACCAATTTCTGCAGTGACTATACATATGCATTCCGACTGGTAATAAAATGTTTTTAAAGATGTGACCCACCAATCTATATCCATCTTTTTGTTGCAAGAACTTTACACGCCGACAGCTATCTATAAATCAGACATTGGAGGAAAGCTTTTGTTAGGCATGCAAAACTTTTCGCGTAGGTAAAGTAACGTTGAATAAGACCATCATTCAGAAAAAACCATGTCTTCTCAGGGATTTGACAGTTTTCATGAACACGGGACTGCCTAGTACAATGGTCACGGATCAAAACAAAATCAAACCAAACCTGCCCGATTATGAAGTGTTTTCTTTCGAAATAAAGAACAAAACATGGAGAAATATTAGCTACGCGAGCTTCCGTAGTATTGTCAGTGGTGTTTACGACGAAATCGTCTACTACAGGAGAAATGTATTCAATGTACCATCTTGCCGCGCACTGAAGAATTTCATTAAAGAATTAACTTTCTTGATCAAGCAGCTCAACGCAGATTCTGACTTGAACTCAGTTGTTTTGAAAGCATTTATGGGGCTCCCAACTTTGATCCTGCAGAAACCGTCCGTTACTTCTAAGGAACACAGCGCAGGAACAGAGAGTCGATTAGCTCTCTGGAAACCCTTGTTTGATTTGTTGGTAAAAGAAATGAGGTTTATACAGGGGCAATTTGTGAACTTTAGGAAAGCTAGAACAGTCGAGGACGTTTTAAAAACTGGGCTTGTCACCAGGTTGATACATTTAAAAATATTTGAAAATACAAATTAAGTTACACTGGTGGTTAAAAGCGTTTCTGAAATTATAAACAATTAAAATGTTTCGGTCGGAATCACGGGCCCTCTTTCACTTCCCCTGAAGAAGGTCCGTGATTGCGACCGAAACGTCGGGAACATTTTTAATTGTTTATAATTTAAGAAACGCTTTTAACCACCAGCGTAACTTAATTTGTATTTTCAAATATTTTATAATAGTCGAGGACGTATCCAAAGTTTTTTCAAAGCTGGTTCTGCAAGGAAAATTGTCAGCTACATTGAAACTACTAGATAACGAGAGCTCGTCTGGCCTACTCAACCTATCACCAGACGTCCTGCGAGGGCTACATGATAATTATCCTGTGGCGGCCATTATTGCAGAGGAGAGTCTGCTGCGATCTCATAGAGGAAGAAATGATTTACCATTCAGTAAGCAAAACCAAGGGCTCAGCAGGGCCATCGGGAATGGACTCAGAGCTCTATAGGAGAATCCTGCGCTCTACGAGCTTTAAGACTGAGGATAAAATCCTTAGAGAAGACATAGCTGTGTTCACGAGAATCTGCTTAAGAAATCATATCATTCATCTTTACATCCCGCTCGACAAGGACCCTGGAATCAGACCAACTGGTGTTGGAGAGGTCCTGCAATGAAGAAGGAACGGATGGAATTCCATCGATCGATGCAAGTAACGCCTTTAACTAAATGAACAGGTCAGTGGCTTTGCACAATATCGATATCACATGCAAAGAAATGGCGCTCTATGTAATAAACACCTATAGAAGCCCTTCTAGACTGTTTATCTGCGGTGGAGGTGAAATACTTTCACATGAAGGCAATACGCAGGGGGATCCCCTAGCAATGCCGTGGTACTCAGTCATTACATCTATAATGATTCAGAATCTGAGGGCGCACTGGCCGATGGTCAAACAGGTGTGGCTTACAGACGACTCTGCTGGAGGAAGGAGAATCGCGTACTTGTACAACTGGTACAAGTAATTAAGTAAGTAGGGAGAAAAGTATGGATATCTCATGAACGGGTCAAGGAGCTGGTTGCCTGAGACACTTGCAGATGAAGCAAAGAGGGTGTTTAGAGACGAAGCCAACATAAGAACTGAAGGTCAGGCCGTCTAGGAGCAGTCATTGCGTCGCAAAAATACAAAGATCTGTATTGGGAAGAGAAAATTTAGCCTATGGAAAGAGGAAATCGAACGGCTCTCTGAATTAGCAAAGAGTCAGCCTCAATCAGCGTACATTGCCTTCACAAAAGGGTATAAGTCAAAGTTCGCTTACTTTATGCCCACTATAGATTCGTTTGAGGATTATGTCGATCGAATCCAGGAGGCGATTGACGACCTACTTCTTCCAACTTTGTTCGGCATATCAGAGTCTAACGAGGTGCGTCTACTTGTCACACAACGGCTCAAGAGGGACTGGGTATGCCAGATTTGAGAGCTGAGGCACCACAACAATTTGCTGCCTCGAAGTCAATAACTACTGCGCACGTAGACTCTATCACATCACAGAGTACCTTTATGGCGCCAGGCGAAAGCTCTACAGAGGAGTCTAAGAGACACAATGGTTCACTTAAGAGGGCGCGTGAGAAAGAGAAAATGGAAAGCATTGACTCTACTCTTTCCCCAGATCTGCTGCGACTAGTTAATTAATCAAGAGACAAGGGCGTATGCTTTTGGTTAAATGCGATGCCTCTCGCAGATCAGGGTTTGGCCCTTAATAAGCAGGAGTTCAGACACTCGCTACGATTACAGTATAATTTGCCCCTAGTCGATCTACCAAGTCTATGTGTGTGTGGGGATAATTTTACTGTAGGCCATACCCTCTCATGTAAAAATGGGGGCTTTGTAGCGCAGGGACATGATGGTGTCCGTGATTTATTAACGGTATTCATCAATAAGGTCTGCAACGATGTGGAAATTGAACCACGCCTTCAACCGTTCGACAACGAACGGCTACATTTGAGAAGTACCGAACGGAAGTTGCGTAAGCACACAGGAGACGCTTTTAGAGATGACGCAATGCGAAAGTTGCATAAGCACGTGTAGGCTAGATCACGAGGTTGTAACAGGAGACCCGTGGTATATGATGTAATTAGTTTTTGTGTGTGAGAGCAGAAATTAAGAGAGACGTTGTGAAAACGAGGACGAGAATAAAACAGAAATTGTTAAGGACAATTTTTGAGTACGTGAGTTAGAGTGTACCCCACAAGTTCGGTACAGTATTATGACAAGCTCTGAAGCAAGAGTAGACATCAAGGCGCGAGGTTTCTAGTCAAGAGGAGTAACGGCATTTTTTGATGTAAGAGTTACTCACGTTAACTCCAAGTGTTACCAGAACAAGACAACATCCAAAGTGTTCAAGGGGCAAGAGGAGGAGAAGAAACGCAAGTACCAGCAGCGAGTGCTAGATAAATACATGGGTTCATTCACACCTTTAGCAGTGTTTGGAAGCAATGGCGGAATAGGGAATGGGTGTCAGCGTTTCCTGAAGCACCTTACAGATAACTAGCTCAGAAGGACACCGAGCCGTACAAAACCGTCATCGCATGGCTCAGGACACAAATCTCTTTCGAACTTCCAAGATCGGTACACGCATGCGTGAAAGGTTCACGAACGCCTGTTCACAGCGGCAGAGAACACTCCTCAGACTGCAAAATAAAGGTCGCCTTAGCGGGCATCTGTTTTTTTTCTTTTGGGCAACTTTTAAGCTGAATGCATATTGTTTCATACATGATGTTGAATTTCTTTATGAAGTTTTCGTACACCAATTTTATCAATTATATTTTGTGAATAATCTTTAGTTGTGGATAAAGTTATTATTAGTTTTCTTTGTTAAATTAGATTAAAGATTGAAAGTTACTGAGTATTTCAAATATTGATGGGCCAAAACTTCTGTCCATTCGGATTTTGAAATCCATCTACTCAAAAAATTGGATTGTCTATCGTATCGTACTTCCTATGGTTAGCCTTTGGTCGACATATATTGAACCACTAAGTGACCAGACTATTCAATTTATAACTCATCTGCATTAATACCCTTTTTCCTAATAAAATTCTGACGATTCCGCCATGTAAGCACTAGAAGTTATATTTCTTTGAGGGAAAAAATTCAAAAAAGCGGCTGCAATATTTGATTTGGTTTCCGTTTCATGCGTTTATTGGTGGATTAATAGTTTAACAATATAAAACGCTTTCGGATAAAAACGAATTTCAGTTGATGTTGCTCATAAAAAGTAAATACCAAGGAAAAAGACTCTGCAGAGGCTAAGATAAGCAAACTTTTTTTCCGATTTAAAAATTTTATCATTAATTGCTATTGTTTCCACCAAAAATTTTAAAAGCAGAATGTCTCGAACAAAAACGAATCTGAGTGGATAGGGTACAGAAACAAAAGTGGTAAAAGGAAAGGCTTTCGTAAGCTAAGGCGAGGGAGCTTTTAACATGTAATTTAAAAATGTTTATCATTAGTATTTTCCCATTCATCATAATGCTTTGAAAATATGTTAGTCCCTCGAAGTAGTATCTTCATTTCTGTGAATATTTCACCATTTACTTTAATTAATTATTAAATGGTCAAAATTTGAATTTTTGCAATCAAGCATAGCGTGTAATATATGATGTTATGCCCCTATATGTGTTTATTTTGACTATCTCTGAAGCTTTATCCCAAGTTGAAAACCAAAACAATAAAAGTAAAGAATAATGTCAAGGTAGATGGAATTTTTTAGAAAATCATTTCCTTTTACGCTTCTTATGACCTCACACCTTGTTTATTGTAATCTTCCTCAACTAGATTTGAACAAAGGAAAAACGGCATTCTTTCCCCCACTTTAACCTTTCTTTACATTTTTTTTTTAACCAAATTTTAACAGCTGGAGAAAACAGCCTGTATTTGCTGAATAAAACTCTTTGTGAAAAATATGGCTCTCGTCATTTTACCGACTTGAGCTAAAGTGCTCGTGAGAAGCTTGAAAGATAAAGAAAAAGTTAAGCAGGATCAATTTCCACTTTCTTGATGTATTTTTTCTTGATATATTTATATTTTTATTCGATACATATCTTTTCTTGATAATTTCCACTTTCTTGATACGATTTTTCCAACTTCAGACATATGCAAGTCGAAAGAGTTTAGCCTTTAGAGCAAAGGATAAATTAATAGGAATTTTTATTATTGAATTTTACCATAACTTGCAGCAATTTCGCAATCTGATTGGCCACTT